AATGTTACCACAATACAGGCCTAAAACCACAACGCAGGAAGTCATCCATGGAGTTGAAAGCCTCAAAGCTGGGTCTTACTCATCCTTTGGTGTAGGGCTTGTTGCCCAAAATGCCCACAAAAGTATGGTTTCTGTAGTAGGAACTTCCTTTTTGGGTTTGGATAGCTAGTTTTTGGGGGGTGCGCAGGACCAAGTGGGTCTGCGGGCATTTTTGCAACGTCGCTTTCAATGTCTTGAGCGTGCAAAAGTGCATGGTGCTCAAGGAAGTTTTGGCTGTTGCTGGCATCACTTCGTGATCGTTCAGCAAATAGCTGTACTCCTTGTCTGCCTCCGGCACATGAAAAGAATGTCGTTGTGGGCTGCAAGCTTTCGGGGGAGCGGGGAGAAGGTTCGATGCTGAGAACTTGAAAGTCGACATGCTCCTGTACAACACAAGCTCCGTGCGTTTTGTAATGGACAAATGTAGATCGCCATAAGCTTCCAATGCGAGGCATGATTTCTCCATCCTGGTGTAAGGCAGACTGAATCACATTTCACGCTGAAGCCCACAATCCTCTAGCATTCTATTCCACACTCCATGCTACAACCTTAGATCCTGTTTGCACGCCAGAAAAGATTATGCATGCATGGATGTTGTTCGTAATCAGTCAAGCGTGTACATACTTGCTCGCCCTGTAGTTGCCCACGAAAAGCTTGATTTTTCGCTCCCTATATATATTTAATATGAGACAAATGAACCCAAAAACAATCAAGTGCACAAGCTGTAGCAAAGCCCCACCTAGTTTGCAATACCTTCTCAGGTCAGCACAGATCCCTCTCTTGGGAGTTCGGGATTGGTTCAAGTGCTGGGGGGGGGGGGGGGGGGNNGCGTCGCCGCCAACAGACTGCTAAATTTGTAGTTGCAGATTGAACGGGGTCGAAAAAAAGGGTGTCAATGTCCTGCTGACAACTTCGGTCTGCAGGACCTCCACTATTTAAAAGTTTTCTCCAAGCAATAATCTGCTCAAACGCAGATCATCTCAAAATCGGCGGGTTCAGTGGAAGCCCAAGCGGATGCTCGAGGTCGTGTGATGCATACGCGGGGGACCTGGATGTCGGGATCTGGTGTTTAGGATTTAGACTCTTGTTGTTCCGCCAGGCTTTGAGGCCCTTCATGTACAGCTCAATGTTGTACCTATGACAACAGCTAACAAGTTCAGATTTCGAAGATGCAGGCAAGTGTGGCTGCAGCAGGGGCGGATTGAAGAGCGTAGTACGCAGACATTCCGTATATGTTATGTACGGTTTTCCTAGATGCCCAGAGAGGGGAGGCAGTAGCTGTAGACCTTTGGGCATCGAAAGTCGCGCAAGCTTTCCCTGCGCAGCCCTTAAGCTTAGTCCTTCTCAACCCCAATCCCAAGCCGCATCAGCAGATTGTTCTGGGGGGTCGCACCGGCTGCGCCTAGATCTACCTCCACTCCCACTACGGCAAACTGCAAAGACTGAGCCTCCAAACCAGAGAGCCTGTACCAAGGGTTTGGGGTGACTTCAGGTACATCATGGGCCAGGCAGGTTAAGCTGCATCGAACAGCATGACATTAAACAGTGGATCCCTACACCTCCGCTCCCCGCATCTATGAACGGTACGTATTCGGCTTAGGTAGGTGATTCCGCCTTGCAGTAGTAGTTAGGATCCAGAGGCAGCAGGAGTTATACCAGTCCCTGAATGAAAGCACCTTTGCAGACAGTTACTAGGAGGGTGAAATGGCCACCTGTAGATACATGGACTTGCACGTAAGAACTGGTGGTGGAAGAGACCTGGCAGCCCCGAAGCCAGGCTAAACAGCTTCTTACCATAAACCCGACAACCATAAACCCTCAACCCTAAACTCCCTCAACCCTCAACCCTAAATGCTCAACCCTAAACCCCCCAAAACCCAACTTTCACAACAGCCAACACCCTGCTAAGTTTAGTTTAGGGCTCTTGGGTTTAGGTGCCAGGGCGGCCAAGATCCTATCTTAGAATCCGAACAACCCAAAGTAGGTAAGATTGGGGTGTTTAGGGTTTAGGGAGTATAGGGTTTAGGGTTTAGCATAAGATCGGGTCATTTTAGGTTGTTCCCATTGGAGTACTATTGGGTTATAAGATTGGGAGAATGGAAAGAACACTGGGAACTAATATTAATATTGGTAACCTCGGTTACCTACAGTTTCATGGGCTAGACCGGGGTAATCACTATTAATCTGTAGGTAGTTGGGGTTACAGGTAGGACCGAAAGGCAAACTGAGTTTACAGACTTAGCGCCATAGATTTGGTTTCAGAAACTCGGCTGTAGGGAGTGATAGGAAAACAGGAGCTTCTTTCATGCCTGGAATCCAACCTATTGGGGTGTTTCAAAAATTCAAGGGTCGCGCTTTCGCGAAAAGAAATATTAAGGATCACAATATTTGCGGTGCGCACACACAAACTAGTGGGACATCTGCTTTTGGCAACACCCATTTAGCGAGCTAGGAACATTGGGGGCAGCACCAAAGCAGTAATCCCTGAAGGGAGAATGTACTGCGATACTAAACATGGCCCAAGCGGAGTTTTTCGATGTTAAGGATTAAGGAAGAAGTAGTACTGCCTTTTCCCAAAGGCTGGGGGTATGCTATGTCCACAGTTTTTGGTCTCATAAAATAGAGAGATCCGTACAAATCAGGCCCCTAGCAAAACCGCTGCCCACGGACAAGCCGAAAGCCTGATTGGCCAGCTGAGGGCCCTACGCTTGGGGGTTAGTGCAGGGGGTGGGCCCTTAGCGAATTACTAGATGGTCTTTCCTAGAGTAACACAACCGAAGGCAGCATGTTATCTTGTTCAATCTAAGGGCCTGTGGTACCCTCCCCCCCAGAAAATACTACCCTAAACCTTTATCTGCAAGATCCTAAACCTTCAGCCCTAGATCTCCCAACACAAATCCCTAAAGCCCGAAGAACGAAAAGCAGAAAACCACAGTAAACCTTAGGTTTAGGGTTTAGGGTTGAAGGTTTAGACCCTAGACCTTAAGCCCCAAACCTACACCTTCAACCTCGAACACAAAAGCCTCAACCTCCCAAAAAAGTGAAATCAAAACACCAACCCCCCAAAACCACACACCTCCGTAGCGGACACCCCTCCACCCTACAAACCACAACAAACGAACCCAAGCCCTTAACCCTCAAACCCGAATCTGCCATAGACCCTGAACTCTAAACCTGAAACCCTAAACGCTAAACAATAAGCCCTAAACCTTAAAGCCTAACCTTAAAACATCATCTTGGCGGAAGGGGTACCTTTAAAAAGGGATATAGGTTTATATAGGGTTATATAGGGTTCTAGACCGTAAACCCTGAACCCTAAACCCCAAGCCCTGACCCCTAAACTCTAAATCCTGAACCCCAAACTCTGAACCATAAACCCTAAATCCTGATCCCTAAACCTTAAATCCTATGCTTGGTAGTTTCCCTTAATAGGGGGGGCCCTAATATAGACCACAAAAAAAAAACTATAGGCCTTATTATGGGGACCCCCAAAATGGTACCCCTAATTTTGGGAAACCCCCACTTGGCTGGGAAGGGGAGTTTTAGGGCCAGGCTTGGCTTGGCCATGCCCAGCTTGATCGTGATCCTGGGTTTCCACAATATAAGGTTTAGGGTGTAGGGTTTGGGGTTTAGGGTTCAAGGCTTAGGGTTTAGGGTTTAGGGTTTGGGGTTTCAGGTTTAGGGTGTCAGGTTT